GGAGGAGGAGGAGGGGGGAGAGGAGGAGGAGGAGGAGGAGGAAGGAGAAGCTTCTCGCATGCTGAGCCCTCCTTGAGCCCTGCATTGTGCAGCCTCTGCCCTGGGAACCCCCCGGGGCGCCCCTGCATGTGGAGCCACGCCACAGGCCCTGCTGCACTCCGAGCCTTTGTCCACATCATAGTTGGAAGAGGGATGAGGACAGTTTGTCCTGGAGACACCTGGTGCTTCTTGGCCACATCCACGTCTACCCTTTCGTCCCTTCCTAACCAGGATGGCTTTAGTCCCCAGCCCAGTGGCCATCACCCCCGGCTGGCGCCACCCCTCAGTCCTGCCTGGGGGCTGGCAGCGGCCGGGACAGTCCCTGGAGGCGAGGAAGGGGTGAATGATGTGGGTGGTGGGGCGAGGCTCCAGCCGAGTCCCGCTCACCTACAGACACAGCTTCTGGCTGCAAATGCAGCAAGGGCCGGCCCACAGCGACTGACCTGGGCAGGGCCTGGGTGCATTTATAAAATTTATAAAATAGCAGCAGGAGACACACAGGTACGGCTTTTCTGCTTACAAGTGATGACAAACAGCCAGAAAAAAAAAAAACAAAAAAAACAAACCAACCAAAAAACACAACACAAAAGGCATTTGATCAATTCATTGATTAGGATGAAGTTTAATTATGGTTTCAAAATGCTTTGGATTTGAGCTTTGCCTTGTGTTTTTAATTTCTCTTTTCCCTCTGAAGTACTATTTTGGCTTGATGTATACTTTTATTTTTTTTTCCTGGTGAGATGGTGTGGATAAATGGCTACGTATTCCAAATGACTTAGAAGGCTTTTGAGTGGGTCTATTTTATATATGTATGTTCCCCTCTCACTGCCACATGGCGGCAGGGAGCAGTGGAGATGGATGCGGATGGTGAAGATGGTCCCATTGCCCGCTCCATGCTGGCAAGTTGGTCCCAGACCCGTTGTGGCTCCATGGGACAAGTCCGGTCAATGTTTATGAGCCTTTACTGCTGCGGCTGCTGCGAGTGGTCCTCCAGGTTGGATGGTTTTAGTGTCTGAACTTGCTTACCTCTTCCTGAATGCAGCTGCTGGGGCTTGCTGGTGGCAGGATCACACCAGGAAAACACATCTGGTGCTGAGACAGGGATCCAGTTGTCACCTCCTCAGACGGGAAGGTCCTGGCAGCGCCTGGGCTTCGCCCCATTAGCAAACCAAAATCATTAGTCACTTCTGAAAACCCCGGTGCATTTACCGACATCAGAAAACTAAAGATGAGCAGAAGCACCCGGGGATTATTTACTTTGTGTGTCTGTCTCTCGCGGTCACAACCTCCCAAAAGAAAAGAGCAGGGTGGCAGGTGTCTTACAGTGAGACTCATCCTTGGCTCAGATACTTGTTGGCAATTCCTGAAGCGCTTTGTTCGCTCGGCTCGCGCCTTAACGCAAGAGCTTTGCTGAGAATTCGTCGCTAGAATAGCTGGTAGGCAACTCGACAGCGAGAGAGTCCACCTGCGCCGTTTGTAAATTGGGCATAAAAAGCTACAGCGTGAGTCTCATTTGTTATCGGTGCAGGATGGAAAAACCCCACATCAGGAAATTAAATTGTGATTGATAATTTAGGATAAGGACTTCACCACAGACGTGAAGTAAAAAACAAACAAACAAACAAAACAAAAACAAACCCACACCACGTTTTCCCCACTGCGTGTTAAGCCGGCAGGGCTGAGCCATTCTGCGTCCTCGCTTTGCACGGACAGGGCCCGGAAGAGGTAACGAGGGAGCTCAGTGATGCTGCGGAGCGCAGGGGAGCTTATCCCCCTCCTCGGGCAGGGCTGGGGGCTGCGGCGGGCAGGGCTGCCCCCCCGGGCTGGGCTGTGCACGCCGGGGCTCGCACCCTGCCCCTGCCCCAGCCTTTGACACTCGCCCCAGAGCTTTGAAAATCTCTTTAAAAATCTGATCCCTGAGAACAGAGAGGCACCGAAAGTAAAGGCTTTTGTGTATCTTCCTGGCCGTTCTCCTCGGGTCACAGCACCCCCGGACAGTTTACAGCCACAGGATAAGGTGAATAATCAGAATTCTTTTCTCTACAGATACTCTGGTATTTCCATATGTGTTTTCAGGCCGAATGGATGAAAATCCAGTTCGTGTGTGCAAAACAAATAACCATGAGCGTCTCGCTGTGCGTGTCTGCAGCGCTTGGGGGTGGTGGGTGGCGGGAGGCAGCACAGGCACTTTCACAGAGCCCGTTTCTGACAGGGCAGCACAGCGCATACGGAAAAACTCGGGGAGAACTGAAGTTTAACAGGAAGAACTAAAAATTTGGGGGTTTTGGTGTTTTTTGTTGTGTGTTGGTTTTTTTTTTTTTTTCCCTTTAAAATGAAAAGGAAACAAGTTCAGCTGTTGGGTTTATCATTTAAAATGCTGATTTTGCAGTGTGCCGCACTGAGAAGAATTCCAGCTAATTCCCGTTCAAATTCAAAGGCCACCGTTTTGTGGCTGCGTATGCTGTTGTACGTAGCCACGGAGGGCTAAGGAAAGGAGAGAGGGTCTCTCTGCACCAGTAGAGCAGCTCTAAGGTCCCTCCGCATTTCACAGCCGTGGCCCCACGGGATTTGGAGTCATGGGAAAGGATTTATAAAGCCGCTGTTTCTCTTTCCCTTGCAGCAGGGGACGTGCCACGGCATAGCATGAGCGCTCTCCAGCCCACGTGCCATGCCCTCCCCCAACAGCTCTGACCTCAGCCCACCCTCCTTCATCCTGGCCAGCATCCCGGGGCTGGAGGCGGCCCATTTCTGGATGGCGATCCTCCTCTGCTCCATGTACATCTTGGCGGTCACGGGCAACTGCGCGGTGCTGTTCATAGTGAAGACGGAGCCCAGCCTGCACGCCCCCATGTACTTCTTCCTCTGCATGCTGGCTGCCATCGACCTGGCCTTGTCCACATCCACGGTGCCCCGTGCCCTCTCCTTCTACTGGTTCAACACCAGCGAGATCAGCTTCAGCGCGTGCCTTGTCCAGATGTTCCTCATCCACACCCTCTCGGCCATCGAGTCCACCATCCTGCTGGCCATGGCTGTGGACCGGTACGTGGCCATCTGCCACCCGCTGAGACACGCCGCCATCCTCACCAACGCCGCCACAGCGAAAATAGGGCTGGTAGCCATGGCCAGGGGAGTTCTCTTCTTCCTGCCTTTGCCTTTACTCCTCCTGCCCCTTCCCTTCTGCAGCTCCCGGGTGCTGTCACACTCCTTCTGCCTGCACCAGGATGTGATGAACCTGGCCTGTGCCAACGCCACCCCCAGCGTGGTGTACGGCCTCACCGCCATCCTGCTGGTCATGGGCCTGGACGCCATCCTCATCTGCCTCTCCTACGTCCTCATCCTCAAGGCTGTCTTGCGGCTGGCGGCGTGGAAGGAGAGGCTGAAGGTGTTCAGCACCTGCGTTGCCCATATCTGCGTGGTCCTGGTCTTCTATGTGCCCCTGATTGGGCTGTCCGTGGTGCACAGGTTTGGGAAGGACCTGGCGCCACTGGTCCATATCATCATGGGCAACGTCTACATCCTGGTGCCCGCTGTGCTCAACCCCATCATCTACGGGGTGAGGACCAAGCAGATCCAGAGGAGGATCCTGAATTTAATTCATATATACAGCGACAGAACTGCCCAGTGACCCGTGCTCAGCCGCTGCCTCCTGTATCCTGACACCAGCTCATCTTGTTTCACACTTAAAGTCTTTGGTGCAGGACTTTTCCCCACGAAACAGAGCACCCAACAGCCTTTCTTCTCTTTACTCTCATGGCTCTTCTACTAGTGGGACGCAGCTACAAAGCTCTTTTAATACAATGAAAGCCACCCAGCCTTCGGGCCAGCAAAGAAGGTCTGAAAGCAAACTGCATTTGTTTTCACACCATCGCAGGATCACAGAATGGTTGAGGCTGGAGGCACCTCTGAAGACCATCTTGTCCAGACCCCAGCTCAAGCCGGCTGCCCAGCACTGTGTCCAGCTTCTGAACGTCTGCAAGGGTGGAAACACCACTTCGTATTTTGGAAAAAGGTTCAAGATCCTGGGAAAGGTTGTTGTACAGTAGGGTTTTATAAAAAAAACATACAGATTTGAAAACTGTTCCCTTGTAATTTTTTTCCTAGTGGTCTTTGTCTTTTTAAAAATAAATCTGTTTCTTTGTAAATAGAAAGAAACAAACAACCTCTTCTTTTTCCTCTTGGTTTACACTCTCACCTCGCTGTTGGTTGCCGTGAATGGTCTTCGCCCTTGAGGTGGCTGCACTGCCATGCACAGGGACGTGTTGGTGGTTCCCTACTGCAACAGCCCCTGGGATTCCTCCAGGGAGAGGTGCCGGCGGGGTGTGATCTCAGCTTTGAACACTGCCTTTCACTCCACAAGGGAGTAGTGCACAAAGCCTCGCACAGCGGGACCCTGCACAGGACTAGAGCAGCACCAGGTACTATGAAGAAGGCTGATTTACCTCCATCGGGAGGCCCAGGTGCTCTTGAACACTGGCATCTCCATCAGTAGGTGATTATCACAGAGTTACGGGGTAATTCAGGTTGGAAGTGACATCAGGACATTTCGAACCCAACCTCCTGCTCCAAGCAGGGCAAGCTCCGGGGTCAGACAAGGTTTATCTGGTTCGGTGTTGAAAGCCTGCGGGGATGGATGTTGCACAACCTCTCTGGGTCTCTGCTACAGTGCTTGATTGTTCTTACTCTGAAAAACCTTCTCTTTATACCCAGTTTAAACCTCTCTTGGTTCAGCTTACGCTTGTTTTCTCTCATTCTCCCACCATGCCACGCTGCGAGGAACTTGGCTCCATCTTCTAGATAAGGGTAGAGGAAGGCTGATCTGCTGCGCACCCTCTCAGAACCTTTTCCTTTCCAGGCTGAACGAGCCCGTTTTCCCAAGCCTCTCCCCACGGAGCGTCGCTCCAACGCCAGCCACCCTGGGAACCATCAGCTGAGCTTTGCTGATGCCTTTTTTGCGTGGGGGGCCCAAACCCAGATGCAGTATCTAGATGTGGTTTAGCAAGTGCTGAGTAGACTGTGGGATAATCCTTTGGGGGCATAGATCTCATCCTCCAGAAAGGCCAACCCAGAGCCCAGCCCAGCGAGTATCAGGAGGAACTGCTAGAGAAGGAGGGAAGAGAAAAATAAAAATTACAGAGCACGTAAATGTACACCGATTCACACCATGCTTGCTGATCTAAGATTTGTAAAGAGGGATTTCAGTTGATTTCAGGCCAGTTTGCTCAGGGTTTATCCAGCTGGGTCCTAAAAACCTTCAAGGGTAGAAGCAGCCCAGCCCCTCCGGGCAACCTTCCCTTGCTTGGCACATGCTCCTGGTGCCCCTGCACACGCTGGTGTGAATACAGCAAGCCTAGCTGTGAAAAAGCAATAAATTATTGGAGAAACCCAGGGAAATGCGTGGAAAGCAGGCGATGAGCGGTGAGCTCCATCAGGGAGGACTGAAGATGGGCTTAAGGGCCGCACTCGAGGAGCGCCGAGGAGGTGTCTGAGCGGCGGCAGGCGTTGCCTCGCACCGGGCCCTTCCGATGGCACCAGCACTTGCTGGGGCGGGTGCAGTTTGTTCCAACCGCCAGCTAAACTGAGAGTAAAACAGGCTCCTTTGTGTAGTCTGGGCTTGTCAGGCTCCCTGAAACACATCTTGTTGTCATCTCTTCTGCTAAATTAAAGCACGATTTATTTCAGAAGAAATACTTGCATTTAAGTGAGTTACAAGTAGTTGCCATCTGGGACTTAGAGGCAGTTTTTCCCCCTGCCGTTTTGGTCATGTTCTGCTTTATTACAGCTTAGAAGGGTAAACAATTTTCATAGAAATGAAAACACTCTGTACCTGCCTAACGCGATTTGGGAAACATGAATGAATTTTTCTGAGGCACACTACTGATCTGGACTCTTTTCAGAGGGCCCTGACATTGAGAAATGGCTCCTGCTCACTCTCCATATGTTCCTTTTTTGTCGGTTGGGGTTTGATTTTTTTTTTTTTCCTTTTGTGCTGGGAGAAAATTTAATAAAGAAAAACGAATGAACCATCCTGAAAATGCTCTGTTCTATTTCCCAGCCGCCTGTTTCTCAGACAGACAGCTATTAGAGCCTCGGAGCGGGGAGGCGTGATGGATTCCTCCCGGGTGCGGATGGCAGAGGTGTAGGATTCTCACCTGCCATCTCGGTTTCCAAACTTTAGTCCCAGAGCGTGGCTTTGCCGGGGAAGAGAGGACTCTGCCTTCCTCCTCAGGGTGTTATCTTTGCAACTTCTTGCCCGCTGAAATGCCCCTTGCTGGGGCCGCAGGTCGCCTCTGTCCTGCAGCAGGACACACACACACACACCCCCCAGAGGCTGTCTCTT